TAATCAAAAACAGATTATGAAAAATTTGTAGAATGAATGAAGTTACCAACCTTCAAAAAAGGAGACGATGCTGAGAGCGAGTGCAACAGTTATGCATCTTGGTAGAACGGATATAGTTAAATCTGGTTCTAATCCAATAAGGCGACCAACGAGAGCAGTTGAATACAAAGAAAACACAGTTGAAAGGATGACAGAGGTGAATATTTCTGCAGCATGCCTCTTAACAAGCTGCAAAAAGCAGAGATTATTTCATTTACACATCATGTCTATAAAAATGTACGAGTATTTATAATATTATGCTGTCGTTTACTGAAAGGAGTAGACTTCATTAGACTAATAATCTCTATTCTTTTCACTTGATACCTTAGCATTTGTTTGGCAAAATTTATAAATCATTTATAAATGGTCAAACTTCATTTTAAACCACACATTTCAATGAACCCACAAATACTATCTATTTATCCACCATTCATTTCTATCATAAATAAACCATCTGTAAATTCTTCCCAAACGGAGGCTTAGAAATGATTAGATTCTATTTGAGTTTTGAGATATCTCCATTCTTTTTAACTTGAAATCTTGAAACCACGATTTTCTTGGTCAAAAAACGCGTCCAGCAATCTTTGAGGTATCTTGTTTGCAAAGACATACCAACTCACATTTTGCCTTGCTAAACCCCCTGGACCTCCCTCTTTCCAGGAAATTATACTTCTGACGGTATTAGATTTTAGTATTTCATTGAATATGATTTAATTTGTTGTTATTGTTGTGGTGATGATAGTCAGGAAATATACTTTCGATCTTAATATGTATTATTCCAGAAACCACATGGATCTAAAGGATAGACCATTTTTTTGTTACCTTTCTCTGTTTGAACATTGAGAAGGCAAAGGAGATAATTACTGATCCCAGAAATCCCATTAGAATATCGCCAGCTCCAGGATTAGATGAGGCCTTTGTAAGATAATATCCTGCATACGTTCATATTTTCTTTTCAGATACTAATGCATTTATATAGGGCTGACAGATATGATAGACTCAGATGCCAATTTGAAAATTGTATGAAGAGACTAAAATTTTTAACAATCAATTAATGTTGAAGTAAAAAACTTCCACGAACATCAAAGGATGCAGAAATTGTGACATATATGATTAAATCTGCAGGATTATTTATTTTGTTGGCAATGCATTATTGCTAAAAATCAGAGCTGAGCCAACTCAGAAGGGTAAATAAAACATGGTAAGGAAATAACCCATTTATATAAAAATACCGAGTTAAACAAAGCCATTGAGTATTGATTACTGAAATCTTTCATGCAGAAGAAATGGGAGTACTTTCCACAAGATTCCCGATCAATTAACTTCGTTGTTTAACTAAATAGTTTACGTCAACAAATAAAGACCATGAATGTAGGCTAGATCTTTACCTAAAACAGAATTAAGTCCCGACTGTGAAAGCTGTCCATAAGCCAATGCTGCAAGATCTGCCGATAGTGCACAGCAAATAATGGGATGGAAAATCTTCTTCACATCAGATGGAAGCCTGAAGACCACAATGAAACCATGTTATACAAATTTTACATAAGGAAGACTTAAAACTTGAGCAGGTATAGTAAAAATTGCCCTCAGAAACTGATAGGAAGGTGATATTAAACTGAGAAAAAGATATTACCCAGAACCAATTATATAGCCTAATACAGTAGAGGAGAGGAGAAAAGGCAGGCATGTTCTGGCATTTGTTCCAAGCACCGTGGGGTATAGAAATGCGGACACAAATGATATAAGAAAAATCGCACTCCATGTCCACAATTCCAATGAAGAAAATGGAGAAGGCTTTGACATAGGCTCCGCTGGTATCATTTCAGTCTTTACCATCTTTCTCACTGCTATAGCTGTAAAACCTGCAACAGAGAGTGAAGCCAGCCAACCCGCAACTGCAGAACACCAGAAAACAGTGACTCAGAAATAACATAGAGAAATGGCATAGTGTGAAGAAAAGCAAGCAAGATAACAGGATGCTGAAGTTTGTTGAGACGCCTTAGATGTAAATAGAGTAAATCCAATTAGGCAATTTACGCATGTTATAAGGATTAAACTATAAAGTAAATATATGTCCAAAGGCTAGAAAAACTGCTGAGCTTAAAAAGATCCATGAAAAAATAATATCGTCTGGTCGACCAAATCTCACAAGCATGTCGTAACAGCTTACTTTTAATGCACATCATCTTTCTGTTTTGAAATTTCATACTAGCTTTATCGAGCTGTGAATAAAACAAATTTCATATAATACAAGGACTATGCTAACTTAAAATCTAAGTCTCAGAATCATCATCATCTTTTTATATGCTATACTTTTTAATAACTATTCAATGAGCCATTGATAGTGAAAAGCAAATGTTTTCTATGACTTAAGAGGCTATGCCATAATTTTTTTCCTCTCCAAATTAAAGATACTTGTGCAACCTTATTTAACTGAGAGATGAAGTAATGTGTTGTACTCTGTTTTAGTATATAACTCTTTCCTTTTCATGATAAGTTGATTCCAGAATCAATCCCAAGTATTATTTATAACTCAGATTTGAAGACTTGTGTGGACTGTTCACTCGTAGCATTAAATTGGCGCATCAATAGTTCAACCAGAGTAAGAGATCAACAATGACCAACAAACCTCTCAATATTTCAGTACTTCGCAATTTGCTGGATGCCAAAAACATTGCATCCAAAAGATTAGCTAAAGAGAGCTCCAAAGTAAACCAAACATACACTCCTCCAAATGTATTTGTGTTGTGTGTTTCGAAAATGTATAAGTAAATTGTAATACTAAAAGCATTACGATCTTATATCCACAAATTTTCTCTTAATACTGAAACCGACTCATTTTCCAAATTAATCCTGTAGACACATATAATTCAAAAGAATATGTAGTGATTCATCCACAAAAATAGAAAACAAACAAGAAATTCTAGACTAGTTAAAAAAACGAACAACATACCTATAATGAAAACAATTTTGAGGCCAGAAGCTGCAGGAATATCTTTAACAGCCAGAGGTAAGACCACCAGAGAAGGTACATAGAACAATGGAAGCCACCTCTGAATAAACAGAAGCGCAGGCTCAAAGAAGTTCATCAAGCCAGTTGCCGCGGCAGGGACAATGAAATCAAGAACATTTAAAATGGTGAATACACAAAACATCCCAAATAGAGCACTTGGGAACTTGATGGCAGCTGCTATGAATGCTTTCTTCAAATATTGATCCATGGCCAGTATGATTCCAAGTGAAACTATTAAATGCAACACTTTAAACACCTAAAAACACGTTAAGATCCCATTAAAACTAATCGCTCACACATTAATTCAAGAACGCATATGGGCGGAGACAAAAATAGACACACAGAAAAATATATACCATGCTTAGAATGCCAGTAGAGGTTGAACCACTGGTTGATTCCATAGATTTAACAATAACACTCCGATTGGAGTGACTTTTCTGAGGATCTGCAAACAAGAACTTGGAATTGAGTCCATGACCATTATTGGGTCGAGAATTTTTGTGGGAATTACTGTACTCAGTGTGAGTTCTTGATTCACCATCAGAAGCTACTGCTAGAGATTTTGATCGGATGTTTCTCGGATTTTTGCCAATATTTAGATGATTTAGATGGGAAATTCTTGAAGAATTGTATATGGGAAGAACAAAAGGTACATTTCTTGAAATTGCAGAAGCTGTTGCCATTAGGATAGCTGAATAGAAGAAAATGTAGCAGCGGAAGGGGTAACATGTTATTGAACTGCATGTGTGAAATTTGTGTGGATACCAAAACACGTTGGAAACTAGAGAAGATGAGAAAACTCACAAATATGTTGGATACCAATGATGTGAAGGAAAATTAGAGCTACCCTCTCCAGTTAAATCTTTATGTCGATAAATAAATTGTATGCGGTTTAAAATTGGAAGTTGAGAGTAATTTAAAGATTTTGCCTTCATTCTGGCTTTAAATCACAGAAAAATGGATTCTGCGTAAATCCTACGGTAATGCCAAGTGACTAGCTTTTAATCACTTTTTGGTCCCTTTGATTGTAAATGTAGATAATGAGTGGCAAGAAAATATTTTATAAGGAATTGAATTGACTAAAAATTATTTTACTGGAAATTGTAATTAATTGTGTTTGATTGGTATAATTTTCCACTTGGAAAATGTTGAAAGTTTGATATTCGTTTGACTTTATTTTTCATGGAAATTGTTCATTAAAGTGATAAAAAATTTTACCATTGAGTTTAGAATTTGTTCCAATTGCCAAAAAATAAAAAAAAAATTACCATATCGAATGTCATTCGTTTGACTTTATTTTGTATGAAAATTGTCAATAAAAGTGATAATTTTTTTTTACCATTGTGTCTAGAATTTTTTCAATTACAAAAAAAAAAAAAAGCTGGAAAACAGAATTCCTACCAAAATCAAAAGAAAATGAATTCCACGAAAATGAGGAAAAGTCAGCACGTGAGAGAGAAATGGGAAAAATTATTCTATGCAAAATTTGGTTCATCAAACACCATTAAAGTGGGAAAATGGAAAATGTTTTTCATTTTCCTTGGAAAACTAAGGGTATCAAATGGACTCTTAGATTTTGCTACTTGTAAATGTGGGCTTTTGTAAGTGTACATTCGGATGATCATTACTGAGGAAAATGTTATTGCTTTTCATTTTTATTTTTTTTCTTGATATTTTCATTCTTGTTTTCAATTTTTATCGCATAAAAGACCATTTTCATTTTCTCTATTAAAAAGTTGTGAAATGCCGAATATATCAATCTATTTAAATAAAAAAATAAGAACTTATTGCAATCATAGTCCCAAAATTTTAAAAAAAGTGAAAACGAGCTTCAAATAAATTATTGAAAGGGTAATTAACATACAATGTCCACACCTTTCACCATTATTGTGAAAAAGTCCCTACATTTTTTTTGACATTTTCATTCTTAATTATACATTTAATTGCCCAAACCATCATTTCTATTCATTTTTGTCCTATTTTTCAATAAAAAATGTGAAATAACGAATATACATTCCTATCTAAATAAAAAAAGAAAACTAAATTTTTTTTAATAATTATTTGTGACTCGTTTGCACTTTTTTAAAAGAGATTTAATTTCTAATTTTTAATAATTTAGTTGGCACTCGTTTGTACTTTTTTAAAAAAAATTGAAACTATAATTGAATCAGTTCTTTTTTTTTTTTTTAAATAGAGGGTATATTCGTCATTTCACATTTTTTTAAAATTTAGAAATTGGATGAAAATTGATAGAAACAATGATTTGAGCAATCAAAGATGTAATTAATGGTGAAAATATCGAAAAATGAAAGATAAGAACGTTTTTCACAATAATTGTGAAATGTAGGGACATTATGTGCTACTTACCATTTCAATAATTTATTTGGAACTCGTTTGTACTTTTTAAAAAAATACAGGACTATAATTACAATTAATTCTTTATTTTTCATTTTTGTTTTATTTAAATAGGAGGGTATATTCGCCATTTCATGACTTTTAATTGAGAAAATAGATGAAAATGACATTTTCCATAATGAAATGTGAAAATAAGGGTGGAAATGACAAAAAATAAAATAAAAGGTAAGAACATTTTTCACAGTAATAGTGAAATGTAAGAATGCTATATGTTAATTACCCTCATTTTTTAGAGTGATACTATATGTATAGGAGATGTTGAAAGAATTTTTACAGGTAGGACACTTGTCATTTTTTTCTATTGATTTCCTCCAAAACAAATTCATAAAATGTACCATACAAGTGTTGACTGTGAGCAATAAGGGAATTGTTCTAATTTTTACGGAAAATCCTACTTTGACATTCATATCTTGTTTGACATTCCACAATATATAAGAAATTTGATCATTGATTTGAATAAGTGTTAATCAAATAAGTGTTCAAATTGCCACCATGTTATGAAGATGGTGTTTGTTGGGGGGTTAAAATTAAATTTTTAGTAGATTGTAATTAATATAAGATGGTGTTAATAATTATTCATGATGGTCGGCTGCTTAATAAGTACTCCTCGTAGAGCACCACATCACAGGCCGTCTACCATTATGAGTTCTTCGACCTCAATGAGGCCCTCTACGTTCACATAGGCCGTCTACCCCCGTGAGGTCGTCAACGTCCATGAGGTCATCTACGTTCACATAGGGCCCGCCTACTGTCATGTTCCTAATGCTATACTTAACCATACAAATAGCAATGAATTGGACAAAAACCACCAAACAGCGAATATGGGCATAGCCAACCGTTTGACGGGTGGGGGTCACCACGTTAGAACGTGGGGAAAGTGAGAAGGCTTATATGGGACACGTGACACGACTAGTCGTAGAACGGGGACGTGTCATCAGGTGTTTATAAATATCCCCAATGTGAGAAAATGTACGGCTTCTTGAACCACGAACTGTTTGAATTCCAATATATTCTCTTCTTACTCTCTTAAACCGAAGACTAATTCTCATGCCGGNGTGAGAAAATGTACGGCTTCTTGAAACACGAACTGTTTGAATTCCAATATATTCTCTTCTTACTCTCTTAAACCGAAGACTAATTCTCATGCCGGAGGAACAATGAGGGGGAAAGCCCCGACCTCATTTTATAGGTAGCAAATACTAATCGGTTCAACCGGAACACCATTCTCGTCAAGGAGAACATCGAAATTTATCTTACTGCAATTTCATTGGCGCCGTTTATGGAAAACCACTGAACAAAAAAGTTATGTCAAGAAGAGGAATACGGAGTAAAACACGCATGGTCGGGAACATGGCAGAGATAGAGTCGGAGTCTGTTGCAAGGGGTCACGACCTGCCACCACAGTATGTAACGCAAAGCCAATTTAGTACCTTGGAAACACAGTTGGTAGCCATGATGACCCTCTTGTAGAGTCAGATGTAGAAAATCGCAGCCCCACTACAAAACTCGTCGGAAGCAGTACATGAGCAACTACTCCAGGTGGCGCAAACGGTTATCCCGCCTGTTACTCAACCAACAGCAGGAGACTCAGGGGCTACAAGGTTTGTGGTTCCACAGACTTGGAAAGGAAGATAGAGGAGATGATGATCCAGAAGATAGACGATGCATTAACCAAGTGGAATAATATGATTAGGCAAATGGTTTTGGAGGAAGATCCATTTGCACCCGAAATTATGGTTGTTCCTTTACCGAAGGCCTTCAAACAGCCAATGATAGAAGCATATGATGGAGTCACAGATCCGCTTGACCACTTGCGGACCTTCATTGATTTGATGAGGCTCTATGTAGCCCCGGATGCAGTGATGTGTCGATCCTTTCCCCCGACACTCAGGAAGGAGTCTAGAGACTGGGTGACGACCTTGGCACCCAAATCTATAAAGACCTTTGAAGAGCTTTCCAGGAGTGTATGACATACTTCATGAGTAGCAAGAGGAAACAGAAGATGATAATTGGGTTTATGCAGGTTGTGCTAGAGAAAGATGAATCTTTACAGGAATACTTAGTTAAGTTCAGCCAGACGACACTTGGTATAAGGACTTTCAGATGTCTGCAGTGGCAACAACATTAATGAATGAAACGCGAAACTAAGCTTTTAAGATGTCACATTCTAAAAACCCCTTAGAGTCGATGCACGACCTGCTGAAGAAGGGTGATAAATATGTTGATGCAGAGGAAGTAGAGAGGGTTATGAAAAATTTGAAAGAGGGATGGGAGACAGAAGGTCACAAGCGAAAGTTAGGTGACGAACGAAAACTTATTGATAAAGGCAAATCGAGAAATGAGCGCATAAGCAAGGGATATATTCCGGATCGATCCAATAGATAGAGACAAGAGGAGGTCAAGGCCTTCACCCCTCTAAATACTTAACGAGCTAAGATATTGATGGAGACTAGGGATATGAAAGAGTTTGACTGGCCGAGACTGATAACAGCGTCTGCCAGCAAGATGGATAAGAGCAAGTACTGTCATTTCCATAAAGATCATGGGCACGATACGGAAGAATACATCCATTTGAAGAAGGAAATTGAACGCCTATTGAAGCAGGGTTTTTTTAACTAAATATACGAGAAATGATCGAGGCAAGCAGAAAGTTGATGACCGACCACCGCCCAGGGCCGGTGTCATAAACGTGATTATTGGAGGGATTGCATCAAGGGGGACTCGAATTCGACTAGAAAGAGCTACGCACGCACAGTCGGGGTCTGCTCCATTCAGAAAAAGGCCAAGTTTAATCAAAGCATCACTTTTGATGATGAAAATTTAGTAGGCATGGTAACCCCTCATGATGATGCCTTAGTGATAGTAAGTGACATAGCAGATTACGATGTCAAAAGTGCGTTAATTGATGGTGGTAGTGTAGCGAATGTTCTCACTTGGGAAGCGTTTGTGGGGTTGAAAATTTCATTGGAAAAGTTGAAAGCAGTATCCACCCCTTCCTGGGATTTGGAGAGGCTACTGTGATACTGGAGGGAGTCGTGGAATTACCGGTGACATTAGGTACCTACCTTGTAAGGGTGGTGATATTGACAAACTTCTTGGTTGTCAATACCCCCATGGCGTATAATGCAATCTACGGTTGACCTCTATTGAATGCTGCTAGGGCAATTCCACCTACTTACTACAAAGTGATGAAATTCCCAACCAATCGTGGTGTGGGGTGTGTGAGGGGTGAACAACATTTCGAGGAATTGTTATGTTGACAGTATAC